CCTTTGGGGACTATTTCGTTGTGTGGTTTGCTGGTTTTTTTAAATGCCGTGAAAGGATATCAGTAACTCGGGATGGAATCAACACCATCAAGCAAACGTGAACTGTATTCTCAACTTTAATTTCAATTAATTTAGCCCTAGGTATATATGGGTTCTTATAGAGATTTGAATACCTTGTTCTTTGGCTAAGCTTGGGATTCAAGCCATGTCTACTTCCCTTTACTTTCTGGTCTTTTACTGGTTTATTGTCTACTTGAAATTGGAATCGAATTTGGAAATTTCCATTTGTGGAATTTTCTGATTTGGGTCCGGTTTTTGATTTGGGTCCGGATGGGCCCAAACCTTTTTAAGTATTTCTCTATGTGGGAGCAGCATCACGGTTTTTTAGATGTTATCTGTAATTCCTAGCAAGGCCAAGTGGGGGGGACACCCATGTATCGCTTTGTTGCTAAACTTAAGAGGCTTAAGGCTGACCTTCGGTTATGGAACAAGGATGCGTATGGCTATGTTCGGGACTCAATTGCAATAATTCGACATCAACTATAATATTTGCATGATAGCATACACATGGATCCTTCCAATGAGACATTCATTTCTGAGGAAAAAGTGTATTCAGAAATTGCAAACTCTTCTGGGCCATGAAGAAAGATTATGGAGGCAAAAATCACATCAAAACTGGTTAAAAGACGGGGACTCCAATACCAAATATTTTCATCTATCAGCTGTGGTGAGAAGGAGGAATGATAGAATTATCTCTTTGAAAGATTAGCATGGGAATTTTTTGTCTACTGAGGCTAACATTGAAAATCATATGATTGGCTATTTCAAAGACCTATTGGCTCAGGAGAGCAATATTGACCTGCACATGGTTGATCAGTTCTTGCCGTCATTTCATCTCAATGCTTCTCAGAAGGACAAATTAGTGGACGCAGTAAATATGGAGGAGATCAAAGAATGCATTTGGGATATGAAAAATGAAAGTGCCTCAAGTCCTGATGGGTTTTCAGTGGAATTCTACAAGTTTGGATAAGAAGTCATTAAAAATGATCTTTTTCTAGCCCTTAAAGATTTCTTCACTAAAGATTTCTTCACTAAAAGTAAGCTTCTCGAGCAAATCAATTCCACTTTTATATGTTTGATTCCTAAAGTGGAGGCACCTAGGGTGATGAAAGACTTTCGACCTATAGGGTTGTTTAATGTCTTGTACAAAATCATCAGCAAAATAATTTCTAATTGGCTATGAGTTTTTCTTGATGTTTTTATCGACTATAGGCAGGCTGCATTTTTTAAAGGTAGCTTATTACAGATAATATTCTTATGGGAAATGAACTTATGTCTCTTTAACATAGAATTCTGAGGGAGTTAAAGTTTGTTGAAGGAGTCCTCCCAGTCCGCTATTTGGGCTTACCATTATTTCGTGGACATCTGAAGCACATGTATTGCCATAGTCTTTAGTTGCTTAAGTCTGTACTCGGAGCATCAGCGGTTTTCTGGTTGTTATATTTCATTCTTCCAAAGAAAACATGTAATATGATAGAGAGACTACAGAGGAACTTCTTATGGGCCGGTGAAGCAGAGAAAAAAGGTGTTCATCTTATAAAATGGAAAACAGTGTGTCTCACACTGGCTGAAGGAGGTCTCGGGGTAAGAGAAATGGCGGATTTCAATATCGCAGGAATGATGAAGTTAGCATGGAGGATTTAAGAAAATCCATCCTCGTTGTTGGCACGGTTCTTCAAACATCGATATTTTAGAAATTCCACTATATGGGAGGTTGAAGGAAGAAGATGATGTTCTCATGCATGAAAGGAGATTTTACTTTGCTTATTTCACTTGAAAGGCAATGTACAGTAGAATATCGGTAATGGCCACATGGTAGATTTCTGGGTGGATCCATGGTTAGCAGGTCAGTCGCTTTTAGATTTGCATGATAATGACATTCAAGAGGATTTGGGGGCTACTACAGGGAGGAGGGTTTCAAACTTTATTAGAGGTTCACCTCAATCTTGGTTTCTGTAACATCCCACATCTGATTTTTTGAGAAATATATGGGAGGTTGAGAATTATACTCTTCTTCTACAGCCCAAAAAGGATTTCACTGGTATGGATTCACTCTGCTGATGACCTATTTTCTATTAAAGGGGCATGGGATTTTATTAGGCATCAAGGTTCATCACAACCTATTTTCTATGCACTTTGGTCCTCTAAATGCCACCCACGGGTGAAATGGTTCTCATGGCTGGCCTTGCATAATCGATTGCTCACCTCATTTTTATTGCAGTAGCAGGGTATGCAACTGGACTCTTTATGTCCCTTTTGTAGCAACCATGATGACAGCCTTGTCCATCTATTATTCCAATGTGCTTTTGCACAGGGTGTATGGAGATAATTAGCTTGGAGATGTGGACAACGGTTTGTCCTCCGTACTTATGTCCCAGATTTACTTAGGTGCTGGTTACTTTTCAGGTTTAAATCACATGGACTTCATAATATTTGGTCTTCCATCTTTTTTACTGCTATTTGGTTTCTATGGCAAGAGAGCAACATAAGAGTCTTTGAGTCAAGACCCACCAGGAGAGAGCTTATTGTGAAACGGATTATCTTACATGTTCAGGCACTAGCAGAAGTTAAAAAATGGTCTTTCCATTTATCAGAAAAAGCCACAATTGGTAATCTTCAGATAACTTGGCGTCAGTAGAGGTCAGAATCCTTTATTCCGGTGGCATGGTCTTTTCCTGAAGTTCAGAACTACAAGCCCAATATTGATGGTGCTTCCTTGAGAAATTCAGGTTTAGCAGGTGGTGGTGGAGTCATTAGGAACATAGAGGGCGGTTTCATTACTGCACTTGATGAAGGAATTCAATTGGCTCATCAAAGAAATTACTTTCCAATAAAGATAGAAAGTGATTCGGCCTTGCTTGTGAATGTCATTCAGAATCGATGCAGTGCTCCATGACGGCTAAAGACGATTACAGATAATTGTTGCACCAGACATTCTTCTCATCGATGGTCTATTACACATGTTTTTCGGGAGGCAAACATGGTTGTTCGCTAAGAGGGCATCTCTTGGCCCCGGTTACTATGTGGCGCCCTAGACCACCAGATTTTCTTTCCTCTCTTTTATTACATGATCTGGCGCAATTGCCCTACTATAGGGTTGTACGTTAATTGTTTTTCTCTGCTCTTTTATTAATGAAAAAACGGGTAGGGAGCCATCTCCCCCACTGACTTACCCAAAAAAAAAGGTCAAGTCATAGTGGATGAGGGGAATGGACTTTCAAAATGATGGAGACCACATCGAGGATTTTAATGATTCTGGTGGGATTGGAGGTAGTACTGCCTAGTCAGATACCAAGTGTCTTCAGATACCAAGTGTCAAGAACTAACGTGTGTCAGCCAACCTGATGGGTATTAGCCCACTTGGTGGAATGGATGGATCACCTTTCCTTGACATAGATATTGGATCAGCAGGTGGATCATAGTTACCAAATCTCCCAACATAGGTGGCAATCCGGCTCTGGAATCTTCCTTCAGCGTTTAGGGAAAGGGATCTCGATTTTTAAATTTTGGGACCTCGATCTCCACCATTAGAGATCTAGATTCCTACTATTAGGGATCTCAATCTCAACCTAGACAACAATCAAACTAATGATATTCTTTATTTATAGCCAGCTAGCAACACGGCTATACTTTCAACATAGTTACATTGCTTTTTAGCTATAAATAAATAAATCCCTAATTTAAAGAGTATATATAGTCCTAGACTATACATACTCTTTAAGGTTGGGAGCAAGATACCAAATGGTCGGGACTAAGATCCAGGAATCTAGATTCCTCATTGTATAGATGGCAGTCCCAACCATATGGATCTTCTAACATTTCCCAGTCCCCCGCTCCCGATCTCGATTCCGCTCCCAATCCCAGTCCCGATCCCAACAACTATGAGATGGATCAAGGCAAATAAAGAGAGGACTTCGTTTTTTCCACATGCTCCAAGGTGGAGGCAGTTGCGGACAGATTGCAGGTCCTGTTTAAAAAGGTTTATGCATTGGTTATTGATGGCATTGGAATGTGATGCACATAGATCATTATCTCGCATGTGGATTTAGCAGTGAATAAAAGGAGGTACTGATTTGCCTGGGTGGATGCAACATATTGAATGCTTAGGTGATTAAACGCGCCTTGAATTTGGCTAAACAGCATAAATTATTTTGCACTCTTTCACTTCAACAAGATAAATTCAGGACATCAATTACTCTGGCCAAGCTAACACTGCAAGGCTTCTTGTGAATTTGGTTAACCAACAGCAATTGCTATTAATGATGTTATTGTTTAAGTATGAAAAAGGATTGTAACTTTCTGAGAAGGGTGAAGCACAAGACAATAGGACTTAAGAATTCCTTTTCTAATATTCGACCTTTTTTTTTTTTGAGAAGTACTATCCAAGAAAAATTTTCCTTATTCCAGAAGAGACATCTTGTTATTCTTTCAATATAAATTATTGCAAAAAATCAAAATCTTGGGCGACAGTGAATGCAAAACTGAGTACACCCTAAGCTAGAAAACACAAAAAAAAAAAAAGGTAGAATATTAGAAAAAAGCAGATGATAAAGATGGAAATAAATTGGAAATTATGAAAATTAATGTATCCAATATACGTTTGATATATCCAAATTCTACCAAGAAATGTCATCTCATTAGGAGACAAGTCAGAAAATAAAGTACAAACAATAGGCACCATATCTCAAAGGTGGCAAAAAATCATAGTTTTTGTAATTGCTAAAAGGAAGACGAGAACTATCACTATTCAACAAGCTATGACTAGTCAAGCATAATTCATTGTCAATAGTTGCTCAAAGATAAGCTCCTTTTTGTTCAATTATATCCTAGATCTAGAGAAACTTGGAAGGTTATAAGTCCATACATTTCAACCCTATCTAATGGAAAGATAGAAAGGGAGAAAGTAAACAAGATATTGTGAATTATAGATACAGATGTACCTTAGTTTTCTGATGGCTGCCTATAAGGAGCAAGGTGTCATCGACAAGCAAGCTTGTTATCACAACCTGCAATTTTTATGTTATTCCATGAACGTTATGGTAAAACCTGATTCCGAGATAGGAAGTATATTTATAACATACAAAGAATGCAAATAATAGAAACCAAAAAAACTCATCTTACACTCTAAAACAGAAATCTTTACTAGCACGAGAATCCATTATTATAACTGACATCCTAAGAATAAGTAATCAGGTCATAGTTAAGAGGGAATGATTTTAAGGACTTCGTATAATGGAGAATCATAAACAATTACAATAGCAAGGTTTAGAACCCCAGAGAAACTAGAATTGTGTGGACATTGATGCATCCATTTTATCCAACTCCTCACGAATTAAAAATCAAATGAAAGAAACTCCAATACTATTTTCCGAATAGAATAATCAAAATACCCCTTTGGGATGAAATATAAACTGAGAAAAACCATAACTATTTCTGCATGAATGATCAGTGTATTCGACGAACACCACACCAACCAAACATGCATCTGAGCTTCATTCTGACAATTGCGGCATCTTCATGTTTTCAAATACTTGATAGCAAGGACGACAAGTTTACTTTTGAAATTGTCTCATGTCCTCAGGGATCATTGTAATGAACAAAATTTCTGAGTTTAATAAATGGAATATCAGGCTACCTAATTATAAAGAATTGAATATACAAATCTACTACAATAAGGAACTAAAACTCGCAGAAGCATAACAATTTACTAAAGGGCCGCTGATGAAAGAAAAAGAACAATTGACCTAAGGGCCGCTCTAGAGCTGACACCTTCCAAAAACAAATGATTCAGAAGTTCAATGATTCTACCTTTTGGAATATCAGATTTTGAGATTTTATATACATCTGGCATCTGAGTCGTCTCGCTTTATGAAATTCCAAATTTACAGGTCATCTAAAACCCAATATAACAGAAAGGAGAAAAATTAAAAGGATTCTTTTTTTTGAGAATAAAATTCAAAGGATTCTATAAACACAATGCACTCGAAAACCCATTTTAGATTTTTCAAAGGAGTTCAAGCAGTTTTATAAATGAGAAAAGATCCTAAATATCTCAATTGTAACCATCACGTTAGTGCAGTACAGGAAAGAGGCATCATCCAAGGATTCCCAACATATATATTAATTGAAAAGCTAAGGAGAATGGAGGCTTTAATCACTCAACCAATGAGAGATCCACCAATGCACCAACAAACTTCATTGAGAGATCCATCGCCATTAATGGAACCATTAAATAGGTCAAGATGTTATATATTAATGCTTTAATTTGTGTAGTGCAAAGCAACTTCAGTCACAAACAACTAAATGGTCAAAACAACACTACTCAAATCAGCCAAACAGTTGAAATATCTTATCCACAACAACATTAGGCTAACATTTGTTATGTTATGAGTGCATCAAAATCAAACTTCCAAAAATATTTACATCATATTGAATTGAAATTTAGTTACCTTTGAGGGCCCAGTAGCATGAAGTAAGTTACAAGCTTCCAAACCGTCCTGTTCTGAGGTGATCCTACAAATGCATGCATTGTTTGTTAAGCAAACAATGGCCATAGCTAAACCCTGGTAATGTCATCGCGATATCTCACAAATAAAGTTGCATGGAGCACAACAATTTCATTTCAAAATGCCATAAGTCATCATTATGAACAGAAAAAAAATCTACAAATCATGAATTTTATCCAATCTCAATGAGAAAAAAAAAATTCTGTTCAGCAAAATGAACCAGTAGTTTAACCTACGTATAACATCCTAGAAAACCACACAGTTTCCCTTTAACATACAATGACCAAAAGGGAATGCATACAGCAACGTAAAGCATAAATAACAGCAGGACAATATGAATACAAAAGAAAGAGTCAAAACGGCCATTAGGCAGCACAAAAGAGTCACATTTTTCTGGGAAAACATAAATGAAGAGGACATCAAAGATATAAGAAAATAGAAAATGGACATGTGGAGTTACAAGTAACATGAATGAAGTTCACTACAAATCTTAGGAAAGACCACATCAGTGTGCCAGGTTCAAGAGTGGTCAAGAAGATCAAAATACCAGTAAGAGTTTTCAGTGACAAAGAACCACTAAAATGACCACATCCCACATAAGTCATGCGATTCATAACATGAACAATGTGTGCACTGCACACTCTCTAGTGAGTGGTAAGTATGGAGTGGTGACTAGGGTTTGCCAACAAGTGTGAGCTTGACAGTGTCGTCATATTGAGGATGACCTGTCCTAATGAGGACAAATCACTCACTGGAAGCAACCAGAAAAATTTTGGTTCTCACACCTTATAATTTATGCTTCTGGCCAATTATGTGGTTCAAAATTGAGTTTCTAAGCAACAACATAAAGCAATACAAATTGTTCTATCAGATTCCAGATTCTTGATTGAAACAAACACGCACCTATGTTCATGTCATAACACGCATGTCTGCCAACAATCCCAAATTTCGATTCCAATGTATTATTAGCTAAAAACAATAAGCTAATATCACATAATTAACATCAATGTTATCTGAACCGGACTGGAAACCAGTGAACCGATGGTCATTCTAGTCCAATTCGACCGCCTAGACCGGAATGCCCATCGAACCAACCATGAACCAATGGACCGACCAGTCCAATAACTAGACCATCCGGTCCACCAGTTCATGGTCAAACAGGCCAATTCAATGATGTTAAAAATTTTACATTTTCTCCATTATTTGTCAAGGCTAGTATACAATGAAGCCATTTACCTTTGATACAAAGAGGTCACAATTACTTTCAACCATCCGATGTGAAATCTAATAGCTTGGGTGTGTCACAAAATTCGAGAAAATTTCTTTTGAAGTTTGAGCTTGGTCAGTGGAATAAATGCAGGCATCTAATTTCACATCCAATGGTCAAGATTAATTGTGATCACCTTGTACCAAAGATAAATGGTCTCATTGTATAATTTTCCTCTTTTCTTTTCTTTTTTTGGGTTGGTTTTTTTTGTCTTTTTCATTTTTTATTATTTTGGTTTTTTGACTAAAATGGGTAGGATTTGGGGCTTTAAAAACCATTTTTTAGAGAGAAAAAAGAAAACTTTGGCAATTTTTCTCACTGCCCCACTCCATAACTAAAAACACCCCAACCCTAACCGTAGTTACAGGTGATTTCCAAGGAGGATTCCAGCCATAATTCTGCCAGATTTGAAGCCCCAAGTAAGTCTCTTATATCATTTTCTTGTCCTTTTTGTTCAATATTTAAATCATAGAAATTTTTTCATATTTTTTAGCGTTTTTGCTGTATGAGAATCTCTTCTTTTTTTTCCAAATCAATGGAATATATTGTTTCTTTTGTTCTATCTAATAGTTATTTCATCTTTGTTAAATTTATTGTTATATGTTTTTGCTTTTTAGGAAGGCCTATATGCAATTTTTTTAAATAAATACTAGGTTTTTTGGTTTTTAAATTTATTTGATTTAACCCTTTAATTTCAATAAACTATGAAGTATCAAGAACATCTATACTTGAAAGATGCTATTTTTCTATTCCTAATATTTTTCTAAAATTTTATATGACTTCTCTATAGTTTTCTTATTTTTCATATTTTCTATTTTTCATTTTGTATGCATTTTTACAATTTTTCTAATTTTAAAATTATGTGACAAGTCAGACCGGTGAACTGATCCCGTTGGGCCAGTCCAACCAGACCAGTGCCCTCACCAGTTTGGTCACCGGTTCGGTCCTAATAATATCGATTAAAAATTCATTGAGAAGCTGTTAAAAATAAGAAAAACTTCTTTATGCTCCATGATATTGAAAATATAACTCAAAGTTAGCATCAATACCATGTAACTTTTAGTAGGTTATGCTAAACAATTTCTCAATAAATGAGAACAAACTATAGTCCTTATATACAAGTATAAGAGTTGTTACAAGACAAAAAAAAACCTCATGAGTTCATGGCAATATAAAACTTATAGGAACACCAGAGAGGGGTTGAGGCCATAAAAATAATCATCATGGTTATGTGTATACCTCACAAGTAGGAACCTTCTACTAGCGTAACAGTATTGCTCCCAAATCTAAAGGTCATGTGTTGACCCCTACTAAACTCATAATCATCACAAGCATGTCTTGAGACGAACAATTTTGCACTTCAAGTCTGCCACGTCTCGGAGAACTCATTTGATATAGATACCCTGGTACTGGCAGTTTATTTCTTCAGCATGACAACAGCATCCTACAAGGACGACCTTCAGGACCTCTCCCATCTAAACTGCTAATGTTCCTCAGAGTTCAAGGTGAAAAACTTAGGTCAAATCAGGAAATGGTTCTCCCATAGTACAATGCTTTTTGAACATTCTTATGCAGGCCAGCAAGCTTGACTGCAAACCCATGGATAATCCAACCAGTTTCAATGTAAGCTTCCAACAGTCAAGGTATTCCACTTTTACATTCTTTTTCTTATCACAGTAATATTTAGGACCCTTCAGATCCATTCTTTTATCGGAGTTCTATTGCCCAATGATGTTTCTAGCTTGTTTGGCTATGCCTAATGCCATATGCAGGCAGTTAAGCCCATCTTGATTTAATTATAACGAGTTATGCTCATTCTTTATGAGTTCTTAGCATTTCTTTTGCCATGTCAATTGATATGGAAACCTTTCTAATGCATATTACGCCAGCCTTCCAGCACATTTTACCACTGCATGATGTATCATTCTTAACTGTGATTTCAGAGCTTAGAGTAGCAAGAAGTAGCCTACTATTGCCCATTATAACCCTGCAGCTAAGTATCCATCATTAACATCCACAGCTCTTGAAGCCGCAGGGATCATTTGTCTCTTGCAAAACCATGGAATTCACAATAACCTCAAATTTCATATGCTGCCTAAGAACCTTGCATTTGGTTACCACTTCATACGAGATAAACTGCCTCAATGGGTCATGGAGAGATATTGCTACCAGAAATTTAATAAATTCCTAACAAAATTCCTAGGTCTCAAGAGCAATCTGACCATTCACAGGGATTAATCATCCAGATTGTCGAAGAGTATGATAGGAAAAGAGATAAGTCCACATATTACTTATTTCCTCTTCGTTTTACTTATTTCCTCTTTGTTCTTTCTTTTTGATCTCATGTATTATAGTAGTACATCCGAACACTAGTGCTGTTCGTCTTCCATCAAGGATCATATTTCCCTTTTGTAAATGATGCTATGTACTTACAAAACACCACATTAACTAGAAAAAAGTATATAACTAAAAGCAAACTTCATCCTCTCCCTCATCTGAGAAGAGGAGCACACAAATTATACAGACCACTGCAAATAGTGAAGAGGAAAAGGAAGCACGAGCGCCCGAATTCGTATCAGAAAGGTTTTTGGCCTGGTCAGCATCCCTTTATGAGTACTCTGCTGAAGAATCTCTCCTGAGTAGTCTCCCAAACACGATGAAAATATCCCTTGACCGGTGTGGCTAAGCCAATCCATAATCACCAGATATGAGTGACGAGGGCTCCCTTCGGCTAAGAATAGAGGGCAGCATACTAGTTCGCTATCTCAGTATTGGAATAATCCCATGACATGTTCATCCAAACAGGGAATTGTGTTAGTGGAGAAAGACCTTATTTTGACCTCCTACCCGCAGCCATGCACTTAAAAATTCAATATCTAGGAGTAGTAGTGCTAATCGAAGCATCAAAGCAGAAGGAGCTTGACACCATTGAATCAAGTGTCGAAAGACTACGTATAAAACAAGAATCCCCAGAGGGGGCCCCAGGTCGGGCGAAGAGGAGAAAGCCCATCAAGTAAACAGGTGAAAAGACCACGGAGTATCTGGTCAGCTTCATAATGAAGATCTCGTGTACTTAGTCAGTACGAATGAAGAAGACCCGGCAATGATAGCAAAAAGCCACATTCATGAATCTCTAGATCACATGTTCTTAGTCAACAAGCGCGCTAAAGCGAGACGAGCACTGGAGCCTGTGAAGAGTATTAGCGAACGCAGTGCGGAGTTAGGTGCGAAAGGAAGAAGGAGAGAGCCTGCAAGCGGAGTCCCAGGGGAAGCAAGGATGCTAGTTCAGATTGACTACTCCACGCATACATTTCCAACACATGCTCTTTCGAGAATCTTGAAAAAAAAAATTTGCTTATATCAAATTTCCCTCGTAGATTGGGATTAAGCAATTCATAGATTTGGAAAAAGACGAAAGGTTATTTCAATCTGATAGCTGGAATTTTTCATCTGCCATTTCCACGTGCAACTCGCTCTCAAAAAAGGGATTTCCTAATTTCGATTAGCGAGTAGAATGTGGTACATGCTTCTCAGAATAAATGGCAAAGTGGAAATTTTATTTTCAAATTGAAAGCTAGGAAAGGGAACTACTGAATGAGACTTTGGTGCTCCTACTAGTTCGATTCTTCCTTCTTCTGAGCCCTCTGGGGTATTTTACAGGATTGGATGATCCGGGTATGAATCATGTCTCTCTCATGCTTTCAAGCTCATTCCGAAGCTGAGACATTACATTAGCAAGC